GAAAATCATTTTTATATTGAATTGTAATGAGTAAAACGAAGCGAAGTGGATATATCTCGGCTTTCACCTGGCGAAGATCAAATTGCTTCTGTAGGAAGACCATGCTTTGTGTTTTTGATCAAACCAGAGCAGAATTATGTGTTATGAACTCTTCAAGTCCGACAAAACCGTAAATACACAACTCTTTTGCTAACAAATGATTTATTTTATACACGAATTGATCAAAAAATAACCGGAATAGACCAGTAGAACTGGCAAAGTGACATTATTATACGACAATGCCCAGTCTCACACAATAAAACCAGTGATAGGCTTCACAAAACTGCTTTGGTGGGACCGCCATACTCCCCAGATCATCTGACTATCACATTTTCCCATAAATGGAGCATAAGTTCACAGAGTTGAACTTCAGCAATTTCAAGGAAAATTGGAAAATGGCTCGACAAATGGTTTGCAGCAAAAAACTATTCCAGCTTTTCTGGAATAGTATTCATAAATTACAAGAAATGTGGGCTAAATGTTTTAAATAATATTATTTTAAATAAAATGAAATTAATTTCTATTAAATAATAAAGTATTGTCTTTACTCATACAAACCGGAAAACCCGGCATGTCTCTGAAACCTTTATGGCTCAATATATAATATAGCTCAAAATATTTAATAACTTTGTCGTTCTAAGATTATACATAATCGGCATATCTTAACATCTATATATTATATTTACAAATAAACGAAAAATTGTTGTGAGGACCTACTGATATTTGGAGGTCCTCAATGGCTAACATTTGGCTTTCATGCGAAGTGTAGAATGTCTTCTGTTTGGTAATGGTCTGTAGCAGCACAAAAGATTAACTATGGTTGTGGTGCTCCGCTCCGTCAGGAGCCGGTACCCTGTTTATTTGTATTCTATTATATTCTAAGGTACTAAAAATTAAATACCAATCTGTTAAGAAAAAAAATTGTTTCCCATACAACTAAGAGCCACCCAACTGTGCATTCATGTATGTAAATAGTATATGTATTTGTATATATGTATATGTAAATAGGCCTAGTTAAAACCTAGTGTGGGGTAGTGATAAGCCACCCAGCCATTATAGAGTAAAAGTGCGTAATAGCACTAACTCAAGAACAAGAAGAAGAAAAAGAAGAATATGTATATGAATTAAGTATGTAACTAAAAATATAAAATGTAAAATATAAAATGTAAAATGTAATAAACAAATTTTAAAAAGTTTTAAAGATTAGTAACAGTTACTATATTAACTGTTACTGTTACAATAAAACAAAAACAATTCAAAACATTACTCTAAAAAATATATAATAAAACGCAAATAATTTATAAATAGATTTAGTCTCATAACAAAATATTTACAATTATTTCCTGACTATACTTTTTATAAAAATCAGGCAGATATCTGCTGAAAAATCTATATATTATGCCCCATAAAAAACATATGCCCCACATATAACTCTTAGAAAACACGTAACAACTCTTTAAAAAGTTACTTAATTATAATTATAAATCTCATTTAAGACAATATAATTTCACTACTGCCCACGTACTACAAATGGAATATTTTTAAATTAATATTAACCACATTAACCACTCAATAAACTAATAAAGTTAACATTTTAAATAGTTTAAAAAAAATTAAAATGAAAACTTTTCCTCATTATTTTAAGTTACTTCGCTTCATTTATTTCTTTTATTTTTCATTGTGTTATATTTAATGTAAGATTTTTTTTATTAAAATAATTTTTTATTTCATTTAAACATATTATCACGTTTTTTATTTTTTCTTTCTGCTGTGTATCTTTCACTTGCCACTCGCTTAACTATCCACTTACTTTTACCACAAACTATTATTAATGTCAATTACCGCAAAATGTGGGTGAGGGGGTAAGAGGCGACAGCTGCTTATACACGCAGCTGAGTATACTTCAATATAGCAACAAATTTTAATTTGTTTACTTTTGAATTCAACTTGCCTAAGCTTTACTTTAGCAAGAAAACCGAGTCAAGCCACCTACGAATTGAGTTAAAAAATAAAAGATTTTTAAAAATAAAAGATTTATTTTGAAAAAAAAATGTTTCAAAATTTGCAAAATTCCATTAAAACACATTATGTGACATTTTAACGTATTAATCATTTTTATTTTCGGTTTTTGTGAATTTGAACTAATTAAATTATTTTATTGGTTCCATTAAAAATTTAAGGTCGCACATACTACACCGGAACAACCTACGTTCATACTATTGTTCCGGTCGTAATCCGGAAAGATTTATAGTGAACATGGTATTTGAATGAATAAATAAAGTTATTTCATTGATTTGCTGATATAAAGCTGATTTAATAAATATTTTAATTAAAGATTTCATATAGTACTTTTATGTGGAGTTATGAAAATCTTTGTAATTCTTTGGAATTCAAAAATACTTTAAGAAAAACTTTTAAATATGGAAGTTATTTACAATTAATTCTTTAATATATATTCTAACGAAATAATATGCACTTAAATTTAAGAATACAGACTAAAAATATGATATATGTATATATTTATAGGGGGAGGGACTGAGCATATAATGTAGTATGTGAACAAACATCAACATGGATCTTTGTCACTGTCACTCTCCAAGTTGACACACAGCCCACACATGGCCACCTGTGGATAAGTACCATTATCCATATTTAGTGAATGATTGTGTACAGTAGAACGTCGCCCAAACGCATATGAGGTTACGCATTACTCAGTACATTAATACAGTATCACACAAAGACTATATATTATACATATATATTTAAGGGAAAAGAGTGTGGACATGGAAGGCAAAGTGTCTGATTGCATTTAACCTGATAAACAACAAGTTTACCAAGTCTGTCTGTTATTGTTCTCTTAAAGTTGGCCTTAACATGGTACCCTCTGGATAGCTACTAGAGCGCAGTATATAAGTGTGTACAACGAATTCTCTCTAATGGATATAGGTATATGATTCTACGTAGAACACCATCGAACCCATCATATAAAACACTGCGCAAATAAAAATCGAAAACAGGTTTTGGATTAGGATATTACATACTGTTGATGACTTAAGCAAACGAACGCAGTAGAGGAGGTCCGATTTGAATTGACTTGAATTCAACGAAATCCGAAGCGCAGTAGAAAACAAATAAATCAGCTAGACATGATCAAAACAACTATGTAACGATTACTTAAAAGGGTCCTAAAATAAATCCTTTTACAGAGAAGAGACAGATTTGACCAATATTCCATAAAAAACTAGGTTCAATAGCACCAAAAACCGCTGAAACTAAAAAAATGACATCGCTATATATAGATTTCTCTAATATAAAAAACTTTTTAATGAATCAACAGTTTAATTAACAAAGAGGTCATAACTAAATTTATGTATACGAATGTCTACTAGAAGTCAGTTACCATCGTGAGATAAAGTAGTCGTGAACGTCAGTGGTCGATATGTATTGGTGTTTATAAATCATGGTATCGGGATAAATCCAAAAAAGTTTGAAAAATACCGTAAACGTATAGATAATCAAACACTATTACTTAGAGACAGTGAAAATTTCAACAAAATTTATAGTCGTTACACATACACATACTGCTTAACAAGCCAGACTGAACAATCCAGTTATCGCATAAATTCCAGGGATGAAATTTAGAAATTTCATAAAACCTTTTATGGTATAACTGTCTTTAACTAAACAGAACATATTGCACCTTACAGAATATGAAATAATTCCCCATTTTGAAGAGTTCTTGATACTGTCAATATTGTCACAATACTCAAGATAGCATTCAGCTCCCATCTCAGTGAATGCTGACCTGTTGACCCATGCAAAGGCCGGTTACACATAAAAAATGTAATAAGCTATATTTAATATAGGTTTAACCATTAAAAATGGGATGTAATAAGTAGATTAACAAACTCAATGATTGTTTAAATTATAAACAGTATTTCAATTCAAATAGAGAGAAGAGAACAGTAACAAAGCTATAAACTAACGTTAATAAAATTTTTTTCTGGATAAAAGATTAATATATCACACCAAAAGAAACTAATTCCATATAAGTATTATTTATTCTAAAATTCTAATTGCTTGACTGTCTCAAAAAATATTAAAAAAATTACAGTTTAAAAAAATATTTGGGATTCTCTAGAATAGCAAAATAATCTATCTTAAATTACAGTCTACAATTATAAGGAATGTTTGTGACAGATACAAATCAATAACTTAATGATTCTAATACCCATTATGACAATTATATTCTGGTACTTTAGTAACTACTAACTCCAAGAGCAGCTCTGGGACCAACAATTTAGGAAGCTAGTACCGACTGCATTTCTAAAACATGATTGCGGCAGATACAATAATATTATATATTTCTAATACGCGTTATGACAGACGTGCTCTGATATTTTAGTAAGAATTAGTTCCTGAAGCTGCTCTGAAAATTCCAACAATTTAAAAAGCAACTTCGGACATTGAAAGGATTAATGTTTATCACATAAATAATCATCCAAACCTAATTGTAATCTTGGGGGTCTTAGTGAAAAATGAATTTAGTAGACACCTTCGAGCAAATATCCATATTTATGGACAAGTCTTTGAATACATATCCACCTTTATATGTGTCTAATAATTATTTATCCAGTACTTATTGGCAGTTAAACATATTATATTGAAGGACTCAAAAAAATGATAGCACGAAAGTTAGTAATATCCTAAATACTTTCAAATAATAAAGCAGACGAGTTCAGCTTGATATTAAAATATTATACACATTTCTTTGAGCATTTAATAATTAACTTAATCAACACACATGTATTGGTTTCATTACCTCTAACTTCTTCGGTTTCCGAAGAAATCTTACATTTTAACGAAATTATCAAATATTTAAAAATAAATTTGATTCAACGCTAATAGACATTCCATTAATCTGACTAAGAAACGAGTAACTCTTAATGAAAGCCACTTACCTTGTGCATATGCGTAACTCAGCACGAAGACCAAAATTGTCAAACTGGTAACTCGCCACAGCGCGGGTAATCCCATTTTTATGATATTTTATTATATATTTTTATACTGTTAATAATTTAACTTTTTCTTTACAGTTTACTACACGAACACATGCATATATATATACATATATATTTTTATAATTATAATAAAAACATTTCGATTTTATACAAGTACTTAAATCCTTTTGATCTATCTGCTTTTAAGTAAACAAAAAAAATTATAAAAAAAAATTTAAAAAAATAAACAAGAAATTCATTAACGATTAAAATTAATATTTTTTTAATTTTTTAATTTTATGGATTATAGTAGAGTGTTTACTTAAAAAATAAATACATAAATTTAAAATTAAGAAAATTAATTGCAATTTTTTTTCTTCTTGTTAATTATTTATATATGAATTTTATGTCACAGATTCACTCTTAAGTATTGTTAAGTAATATTGTTTTTTTTTCTGTAATTTTTTAAACTGAAGAGAAATCACCTTGAATATGCTAAGCAATTAGTTAGTTAAATTGTTGTTGTTGTTGGATTTTGAGTATTGCTGACATTTATAGTATTAATTTAAACTTTCAGCAATGTTATCATTATTGTTATTATTATTGTTATTTTATACCTTAGGTATTTTATACTCACAAGCGGTAAAGGTGATACCTTAAAATAGTATCTTTTTGCTATTGGCACAAATTCAAACACTTAATCCAAAGCAAAACAAATTCAAGCACAATTTACACATATGTGTATATGTATATATAATATATATAATATTATAAATTTTTATATATTTTAAGTATTTTTTATTGTTGTTAATAAACTAAGGTCATATAATGTAAAAAAAAAATTAAATTGCAATTTATATTGACTTTTTCTTTGTGTTTGAACCGTTAAAAGGAAAAGCGTTCAGTTAATACATAATAATAATATTAACAATTAATATTAGCAACGAACTTGACTTACTTTGTATCTGAAGACACCTCATAAAATAGTTATAAAATTAATTCTAAGAAACTATTACACATTATTTATTATTACATTAACAAAATCATATGGTTTATAATTAAAAACTTTTTATTAAAGCAAATATATATATATAATTAAGGATAACAGTAAAAACAGTTTTTATATATTCATAACACATGCTAGTTGTATAGATTAGTCATCGTTCTTAGCCTCGCTCTTGCAGTCTTACAAATTATTTACGGACTATGAACAAATTATTTAAATATTTCCTAAAAATCAATCATGATGAGTACTTGACAATACTCAAAACAGCGTTATTGAAATCAGACAAATTTCAATAAATTAATTAATATTTCTGTAGGTGTTGCTTCATTACTATTTGAATCCCTTTAACTAACTAAAAAATAGTTTCTTTTCGTCATAAGACGCGTCATATTTGAATTTAAAAATTCAAATTTAAGTATTAATATATTTATATAAAATTTATAAAATCAAATATGCTACACTATACCTAGTATCCGAATACCTAGTATCCGAGTTGTACTCCTAAATCATCTGAAATTTCTTTTTTAATTTTGGAATTTAATGTTTGTATTTTTTTATTTTATAAATAGGGTGCTCTATGCTTTATTCAACATTAAATTTCAACTAAGAACTTAATTCTAGAAAAACTAGAAAGTTTTTTTTTTATGTATACATAAAGTACAAGTACCTAGTATTCTACTTAAATCGTAGTACCCCTAAAATATCTCAAATTTCTTTTTTATATTTAGAATTTGATGTTTTATTTTATAATTTTATATATAGGGTGCTCTCTGTTATATTAAACTTTATTAAACTAAGGACTTAATTCTAGAGAAATCAGAAAATTCAAAATTAATATATAAAAATTTAACAAATACCTAGTATCCGAGTTGACGTTGAATATCATTGAGATATATCAAATTTCTTTCTTAAATTTGGAATTTGATGTTTATATGTTATATTATATATAGGACGCTCTATGCTTTATACAACATTTAACTTCAACTAAAAACTTGATTCTAGAAAAATTAAAAAGTTCAAAATGAATAAAAAAAATTGATTTTTTATAGGGATATGTTCGTAACATAGAAAAAGTGGCTCCGTCCGAAAGCGACATGACCCAAACACGCAACTATATTGCTAATATTAGAGCTATCTTTAAGCACATATTGCGATTCTTTATTGTAACATAACATTGGATATTCTCCTATTATCATTAGATATAATGTAATATAATTCCTTTAGTCTAGAAAAAGTATAAGAATATCTGCGGTTTTGTTGAATTTAGTAATGTTTCATTACAACAACTGAATATACTAAAATAACAAAACAATTTTTAATAGAACTATTCTTTAAACTTATTTACTAGAGTTTATATTTTTTTGATTATATTGTACATAAATCTCATTTTTTTATGCTAATTTATACAATTATGAAATATACCATATATAACGTATTTTTATAAATATCGATCTGAGTCATAATGTATGCTTTCGATTTCCACTCATTTATAAAATCGAATTCGTTTAGGTGATCTAGAGCAATTCTTGATTATCTGTCAAGGAAAAATGATTTGTTGGGAGCAGCTAATTGTGTCAACTGACAGTTTGAAAATAATTGGACAAGTTTTGTTTATATATTCCATTATTGTTTTAATTGCATATAACATATGTATGTACAATAAATAGTAATAAATAGTAATGATTCTTATTATAAAATTTTTACAAGAATTTTTGAAAATAATTATAATTATTTTTATTAATTATATTACTCCTGCTATTAACTTATTTATGTATATCTGTATTTTGTTTGTGTTTATGCATATATTTAGAGGAGCATGCAGTGCATGTCAATTGTCAAAGCTAACCAATACTATCACACTCAAAATGTTTGTTGGAACTAGAAAATCTAATAGAACAGGAGTAAATTTGTGTAATGTAAAAAAATATTTAATAAATTTTTCATTAATAACTGTTCATACTATTTTATTAATAAATCCAATTCATTTTAGCCAGTGGCGTAACTACATTTTTTAGGCCTGTAAGCAAATTCTAACTAAGGGGCCCCTACCAACATACTAAGGGGCCCCTCTTTTTATACTCTTTACACGAAAAAATGTGAAAAGGATATATGAGGTTTGTCAAGATTTTCGTAACGCATTAAAGGAAACGTCGGAAATACCATTAAGTATATATCAGTACAATATATATATACTTTTTCAGTTCAAACTACTCTCTCAGCTTTTGAACTCTTCGAATGAAACTTTACACACATACTTTTCGGGAGCCGACCCTTTTCACCATTTGATTTGATTGAAATTGGACGTCTATTTCTTGTTGCTGTGATATAAACTTAACAATCGGATATGAGGTTTCTCCGTTTTTAATAAAGGTATTCAAATGGAATTTGGTGTATACAGTACTGATATTTGCAAAAGACAACGTACAAAATTATTTTCAAATGGGTTTAAATCTAAATATAGCTTCCATATAAGTGTCTCGATTAAGACACATATTTTTCTTAGAAAAACTTTTTTATTTTATAAATAGGTTTAATATTTTATTTGAAGTACATACATATTATGTACTCTAAATTTAAAATTTACGTATCTTTTATAAAATGCAATATGAAGTTATTCCAACAAAAAACGTTTCGTCCCTTTTGAGAATTTATTAAAAATAAATACAATGAATACAAAAATTTATAGTGGGGCCCCCTAAATTCGGGGGCCCGAAAGCGTTGCTTCCAGTTGCTTCCCTGTAGTTACGCCACTGATTTTAGCACAAATTAAAATTGTTTGAAAACTTCATTGCCAAACAACCTGCTTCTTTATAACAAAATATTGTATCTGAAGTCATTCAAACTTGTGAGTATTTTAAATGTTAAAGTGAATTTTGTATTATTAATAATTCAATACAGTTCATATAAATTTTTCAATAACAACAACAATATCTAACAATAATGACATCAATGAAGAAAATATGACAGCAAAAAGAAATTAAGTTTAATTTTTGATTTGTTTTCCTTTTGAATTTCGTTTTCTTGTCTTTGCTTACTTTGTTTACTTTCAAATTTTATTAACGGAAAAATTTCACTATTTATATTCGTATAGGCATTTCCCAATCACTAAATCATAATTAATAAAAAAAAAGTATTATATTTTTTTATATTTTAAAGAACGTATTGTAGTTATGTATGTATGTATGTATGTATGTACTTTCGAAGGGAGTAGAGTAAGACACATTTAAGCACATTTATTTACCCAAAAATACAAGAGCCCAACTAAAAGCCACAAAAAATTCGTATTATTTCACACTTATTATTTTATATTCAACAAAAATTTTATAATTTTTTTTACATATGTATGTTATCCATGCCTGGTATATAAAATAAAAGCGCACTAAATACAATGCTGCACCGCACACTGCACTATGCCCCGCTTCCACACATTTAACTCTGCACAATGCAAAAGTACGTTGTTTGCATACGAAACAATTCGAAAAAAGTTAACATTTATTTCTTTTTGTTTATTATTTTTTATACATACAATTTATACACACCAAAAAATAAAATTAATTTTCAAAAACAAAAAAAAAAAATATTCTATACAATTTTCGAAAACAATGTCCGCTAACCGATCGTTGCGTTACCGCACTTAAACGCGTTTTCAGACAAACTGAAGACAAGTTGTATAAGCCAAAAGCGGCCAATGCGAAAAAGACTACAAACCTGTGCTTGGTCTTGCTACCACGAAGAAACAACAAAAAGAGTGCCAGAGTCATAATTTTGCGAGCGTTTACAGTGGCTTTAGCCGGCAAATCGGAGAGTGAGAATTGCAGTGATTTGCTTTAAGCGAAGTGTACGTAAGTAACGTTACGTAAAGTTTGGCAAACGTAAGAGACTTAGAATTCCGTTACATGTTTGCAAGGCAGCAGATATTTGCATATCGTGAGCTTGTGTAACACATTTTATGCAGAGCTTAATAATTAATAATTAAAATTATATTATTTGCATTTTATGTAAATAATTTAATAAACCATTTCATATACTTATATATGTTTTAAATCTTAACCATATAAAATATAATTATTTATTGCAATATTTTGGTGT